CAAGTTCAACTGATAAAGGTCCAGTGATTTCAGAATTTTTATCTGCAGTAAATTTTGTGTACTTGCTTTCAATCATCTCTATTCCTAAAATACTATGAAGGAGATACCTGATGTTTATCATTCTTTATGTGTTTAGATGTTAACTGGTGCTTTACTATTTAACCAATATATGGCAGGAGAATTTCTAAGTTTTCAGTTCTACATGCAAATTATTATTAAATATTATATTTGTTCTGACTAAGTTCAACTCATACTGAAATCTTGTTTTACGACATTCTTAGAAAAGTCTTTAAGACAGATTATCTTCAATTTGCTGTACAATGAGAGCTCTCTGACCTCCAACCAGAACTACTTTTAACATTTTGTTCTTTTAAATACCCTCTAATGGCTAGTGTCTGCCCACTCTTTCCCTACTAAATTAAAAAGAAAGAAAGAAAAACTTCCTGCTTCATTTATTTCATTTTGCATTTGTCATTGAACAAATATTTATGGTGCCTTTATAATAAGCCAGCCATTCACTGAGACCTAACAATACAAAGATATACAGTATATCTAAAACTTCCTACTCTCAGGAAGCTCACATTCTCATGATGGATACAGACAAGTTAGCAGAGATTTGTAATATCCAGGCTAGAACACAGACATGGACAAAAATATCTAGTAAATAGGGCAGGAAGCAAAGGTAAATGTAGTATTAGGCTTGGGACAGATAAATTAACCACATAGAAAGCAAAGGAAAGGTCCCAACTGAGAAGAAAGATGTTAGGACAAATCCAAGCTAAGAACTGGAATGTGCTAATGAGGACCAAAGAAACACAGAAGAGTATTTGGTAGAATCCTAGTGAATCTGGGTGACTGATTGGTTGCTTTTAATCTTCCAACACTTTCTGCAATGTTGTGTTCCATTTAAAGCACTTTAATCATGACTGCTAGCCTGAATGCAAATACATTCTTTCATGTCCTTGTGAGATAAAATTCTACCTTAAGCCAAGAGTCTAGCATTCCAAAAACTTAAACCATGATACAGAAATCCAAATTCAGTTCGTCAACACCATCTGCATGACCAGCTGTTCACCTACCAGATTTTCTTCTTTTTTCATATCCCACATGTTCACAGGGAAAAAATTATGAATGAAAATGTTATCTTTGCTTTGCAGTCCTACATCTCATAACTCCAGAACCATTCCCTAATGTTCTCTAACAATGATTAGGTCACTTGAAAAAGCAAGTCATATTTGTCTTGGGCAGAACTCAAGTACTGGGGAATTTTTAGCAGTGTTTTAATCCTAAGAACCTAAAAGCACAAACAGAAAAACATCATGAGTGACGGTCAATTTGCCAAAAAGGTCACATTCAGCAAATTCTTGTTACTTGGCAAACACCAGCCACATCACTATTACTTAAAACCCAGCCCTCCCTGTTGTCCTATATGTCATTTGTAGAGGATTTGACTTTTTGTTCATCCATTCGTTAATTTATTCATTCATGAATTTACACAATGCTCATTATTTACTTAATATATAACAATCAAAACACAACAATTTTTTTCCAGTATTTTCAATCATTCAAAGGATTTTTTTTTCCCTTTTTGTCTCCTCTGAGTACCTGAAGATGCTCTATAGGCCATTTATAAGGATCCATGAGATGTTCCAAGTAAGGACTTAATGTACAAATTGGTACACAGAAAGTGTTTTGGTTTGAATCTTCAATGTACCCCAAAGGATCATGTGTTTAGGCTTGGTCCCAAGTTGATGGCCCCATTGGGAGGTGGTGGAAGTTTTCAAGATATAAGGACTAATGCAAGGAAATTAGGTCATTGGCGCATGTTTTCAAAGGGAATATTGGGATCCAGTCTCCTCCTCTCCTCTCTTTTCTTGCTTCCCAGTCACCATGAGATGTTTAGAACTTTCCAAGTACATATGCTCATCATGATGTTCTGCCTTCCATCAGGCTCAAAAGCAACAGAGCCAGCTGACAGTATACTGAAACCTCTGAAACACCAGCTACAATAAGTCTTTCCTCCTTTTATTTTCTCAGGTATTTTGTCACAGCAATGGAAAATTAACACAGTAAATACTCATTGTGTTTTTGCTATTATTGTTGTAATAATGTGAAAGAACAGGATTAATGCAAAAGCCAAAAATATTATAAGCCATGACACTTCTATTACTATAATTATACATACACAAATATAATTATACCTAGTATATACTGGCAACACACATTTAAGTGATTTTTCAGTAACTTAGAAACCTTACATAGCCATCTAGGTAATATAATTTTTTTTTTTTAATGTTTTGAAGTGTTGTTTTTTAAAAGAGCAAAAATCAAAGCCTCAAAGCCAAAGTAACAAACATTGCTTTATCGATGACATTTTTATATGAAGTTTATAATTCAATGAAAACAAGTCCCATTAATAAAATAGGTCTTATTTAATTAGATTAAATAACTTTATATTAAAACATTAACAAAAATATAATCAAACTGCCTTCTTGAGAGTTTTTGAAAGGTAGTATTTAGTCATGTTCTGTGACCGGGGCTGAGCAGGCATCTACGGAATAAAGAATTAAATCACCTAGTCTCTTTGCATGTTTCTGGATCTGACCTAGAGCATCATGTCATCAAGGCAATCTGGAATAAGATGTTTTGTACATAATGGCCACTTGTTCATTTGTTGTTCCAGATAATTTTTTTAGAATACCTGTGCTTCACTATGGTCCCCCCAAAAGTGCAATTTTTTCCTCCTTACATTCATTTTATAATCTACAGGTTTTGCAATTTTTTTTGGGGGGGGATGTGAGTACATTATTTGTTTGGGTGCTATAAACTTAGGGGTCACAGGAATTTATTTCCCTCACTACCATAAATGCAAACTCCAAAGGCTCTTTATTCAGGCCAATTTTTACCCTGAAAAAAGTTGGAAGGCATGGCATTGTGAAAACCTGTAAGCATCTTCATCTTTGAGTTATCCTTGGAAGACTGAATCACTTGTGGATGGAAGTTTCATTATGAAGGTAAAGTGGTCCAATATCCTATGAGAAAAGTAGGCTACTGTTTTTCCTAATGCCCAGAGACTGTAAACAATCAGGAACACTTCTGGTGTCCCTAGAAGCATATCTATAGTATTTTTATTTTATTTTAAATTATTCTAATATCATTGTGAGATTCAAAAGCTTCTAGGAATATCTCAAAAATTAATGGAGAGTATTATTATAAAAAATGAAATTACATAAGAGTTTGTGGGTTTGCTTAAGAATGTGGAAAGCCTGTGAGTAGTGGCAGAAAGTGCCTGAGTGTCAGTGGCAGAAAGGAGAGAGAAGTTATCTCTGTGGACTATAGTCATGGGCCTATGGAGTGAAGGATGACAGCAAAAATCAAAGGAGCTATTTTCCTGAAATATAGTCATTTAGTAGAGGTGCAGGCAACACTTCTTAAATCCTTAGGTAAACAGTGAAGCATCTTTGTGTTTCTACCTAGAGCATGCAACTGATACCTCAAGGACTTCACAGTCAGTATTTCCAGGTGGGCACCCCACAATGGCCCCAGTTCATCTTCAAGTGGGTAATTAAGTTAAGGGTTCATGGCAAGTGTTACATACTCAAATGTGTACCCTTACAATTCATGTTAAAACCCTAGTTCTCACTACTTCCAAATGTGACTATATTTAGGGATAGGACCTTTGTAGTAACAATTAATTCAAACTGAGGCCATTGGGATAGACCCTAATCCATTCTGGCAAGCAACCTTACAACAAGAGAAAATTTGGATACAGAGACACAGGATAAATATGCACATAAGAAAGGCCTTAAAAAGACACACCAAGAAGGAAGCCATCTGCATTTCAAGGAGAGAGGCCTCACAAGAAACCAAACCTGCCAACTCTTGATCCTGCACTCCTAGGATCCAGAATGCTGAGAAAATACATTTCTGTTGCTTCAACCCCTCAATATATGGTATTTTGTTCTGGAATCTATGAAAAACTAATATAGGAGGTATGTTAGTTAACTTTTCATTGCTGTGTCTAAGACATGAGACAATAACAAATTAGAGGATGAAAAGTTAGTTTTGTGTTCAGTCCATGGTTGACCAACTTTATTGCTCTGTGGCCCAGGTAAGGCAGAGCATCATGGCAGAAGGGATTGGTGAAAGAAAGCTGCTTACCTCATAGCAGCCAGGAAGCAGACAGAGAAACTTGAACTCAAGGGACTAGATATAATCTCTAATAGCATACCTCAGAGCCCTGCTTCCTCCTGTCATGCCCCAGTTATCACCCAGTAAGGAGTCCTTTTAAAGTATTAATCCATCAAATGGATTAATCCACTGATTAGGTCACTGTTCACATAATCGAATCCTTTCACCTCTGGCCATTCCTCATTGTCTATTACCTGAGTTTATTGGAGGACACTTCATATGCAAACCATAACAGTAGACAATAAATACTATAGATACCGACTATTGTTGATAGTCCGCTTCAGAGGAAAACAAAAAAGACAGGGCATTGAAACATAAGTGAGAGGGATCCTTGCCCAGAAATTCTTGAACTGAACAGATAAGTTGGAAAATTTCAGCCGTGTTCATATTATTATTTTGAATGTGATCATTAATAAATATGGCTACTAATATGGTTAACACACATCAAACTTTGAAGAAACAAAAAAAACTATGAACCCAAACTTCTTAGGTTTGACTTCTGGTTCTATGTGTGATCCTCGGTAAGTCAGTGAACATTTCTAGGCCTTAGTTTCTTCATCTATGGAGAAAACAAGACTAACTTCATGAGTTTTTGTAATATTAAACTAATTAATATTTTCCAAGAACACAATGATAAATATATGTAATAGCTATCATCATTCTTATTATCATTATTATAGACATACACTATTCAAAGGGCTTTATTGAGTCAATCTTACAAAATTTCCTTAGATGATTGAGACATGGTAAAATAAATTAACTTACTCAGGATTTCAACATTAATAAATAATGAACACAGGATTTAAACATAAGTTTAGAGGCCTATATGTTATTTATTTATTATGCTCATACTAGCAAATCCTTTATTTACAAAACTTTACCGAAAGTACCAAGTATTTATATTTACAAAGATTACATTAGCCCAAATTTATAAATTTTTTAAAAATTAATTTATTACTGCAGAATTGTACAATGATATTGATTAGAAGGGACCTATTAAGTTCTTCACCATTTTTCCTTTAGAAAATGTTTTAACATATTTACTAAAATAACAAATTGAGGTAAACATTCAATGGTAAATCTATGATTTAGGAAGTAGATGAGGTAAAGAGCAATAAATTGCTTTAGAATATATTCAGAATATTTTTTCATATGCATTTTTATTTTTAATATTCTCGATTCTAAAAACAATGCATTCTAAAAGAAAGAATGCTGGTATTTTTCTAATTTGAAAGTTCTTTAATTCAAAAATAAGTTTACAGTTGATGGGAGAAGGAGTTTAAATAATCTTTGCTGTACATGCACGTAGTTTAAGAAATATTTCTTTTCCCTCTTTAAGTGTAAAATTATACCTGCAGAGTGGTGGTCTGTAAAATAGAAAAAAAAAAGAGAGAAAGATATTGATTAGTAAAAGAACAAATTTTATTTCCCTTTTATAGAAGTGTTAGGATAGTCTATGCCTGTAACTAACTAGTTCTCCAAATGCAGGGATTTCCAACAAACCTACAGGCTCAAAAACATTCCATCTCATTCAGTCATGTAGGGATGAAGAAGATATAACACTGATGAAGAAGAAATTCTCCATTTCAGCATATGTACTTTTTGCTTTACTGGAAGTTTACATTGTATGGGAGACATAGTTGGACACTGAAATAGCTTAACCTGTATTCACTAAGTGGCCAGGCCACTCTCATGACTACCTCAAAAGAAGAGTGAAGTGAATTGTATAGGCAAATTTTGCCTAAATTCTTCAATCAGTCCTTTTTTTCTCTTTGCCACCCATTAAAATGGACATAACAATACAATCTCTCTTGGAGAGATTATATGTATACTACGTGAAGAGTGTACATGAAGAGAGTATCTTCAAATGCAAGATAAGGCATCTTGTCAAGCTATAAATTTTCCTTTTAATGTCTTGAAAAACTCTCACAAAAAGTGATCAGCTAAAATAAAAAAAAAAGGTGGTAAAATCTCAATAAAAGACAAAGTAAAATAGTAAAAATAAATTTTAAAGAATCTGTATCAGCAACCATCACCAGTTAAAGAAAAGGGACTGCAGAGGTGGTGGCAGCTCACCTTAATGTGACATGGAGAACTCTCATTCAGAAGATCATGGCTTCCAGGGTCCTCCCAGCTTGGTTAAGATACCACTGAACACATTTTGTAAACACTCAAGAGCATTTTAAGTTTAAATCATTCATTTTTTAAAAAATTAAATTAAATTTCTACACATGCTTAGAAGTCACAAAAGTCATAAAAGATAGACATTCATCTTCATTTATGGAAGTTGATAAAGGATAGTACAGTATTTTCCATTTGGACTAATAAAGGCAATTTGAAATTCCATTTTAATACTCTAACAGTAAATTTGAAATAATAATGTTTCAATATGGAAGATCTTTTGGATGTTGGCAAAGTAGTTTTTTGTTAAGCTATCAGAGAGTAAAATGTGCACATCTATCTTTAGAATAATTGCATATGATTAAGAAATCTGATGTTATCCTTCTCCATTAAGAAATAAGTAGATGAATTATTTTTTTATTCCCCATACAAATGTATATACAATTATGATAACTTGTCATCTGTTCTTATCACTGAATGTACTTTCAATGCACTGAATTTCCTAGACTCATCTCATTTTAAATTTATCAAGTTCAGTAAACATGTCATTAGAAACATTACCTTTGTCATTTAGTAATTTTTCTGTTTCATATCTATAATATAATATGAAGGCAAGTATGTTTTTGTCTCTTTTTTACAATAGAATGAAAATGCACACCTTATGACCACTGATATGTATTCTATTGTTAACATAGTAAATACACACCATTATTAAAGATTCCACACTTCATAAAGCCTCTGAAAGCATTTAAAAAAGCTTAAGCAGGTTTGCAATGCCTGCCAAAGTTAAATTTCACCAAAACATATAACCACCTTTTTATTTTATTATCAATAGTTCCTTCTCTCCAAACAATATGAAATGAAAATGCTATAATTTAGAAGATAATGTATGATCTATGTGAAACTACTTTGAGAAGAATATTGTGTTTACTTTTTTAATCTCAAAAAGAATACTAACTATTACATTTCCAATGTTTTGCTGACCATAAATAGACAGAAATGAGCACATTACCTTGACAGAGTATAAACTTTAATGAATGTAATGGAAGAAGTCCTGAAATAAATAGCCCCTAAAATTTAAATACACCATAGTTTTTAATTTTAATCCATACATTTTAATCCATATATATCATACTAAATTATAAGAAAGGAATGTATTTTTTTTTCAGTTAAAAAATCTCTTTTTGAGACTTTTTGTTTTACTTAGGATAAGATTCTAAACACCAAGACAGGAACAAAAATAGTGCCAGTTCCTACCTGCCAAGTGGGAAAAACCAATGATCCAAGGGCACAAGATAAAGCACACAAAGAAGTCTTTTTTAAGTAGTGCAAGTTATTGAGCCTAGACTTAGCACTTGGCCAGACCTGGCTGCCTAATTACATGTTGAAAAGAGGACCAGAAATGAATACTTGACTACAGATAACTTAATAGCAGCTTGAAAATAAACCTCAAGAAAATGTATAGGAACACAAATATAGAAAATCCACATGATTAAATGCACAATGTCTGACAGTTAATCAAGAATTAGCAAGCAGGGATGAGCATGTATCTCAGTGGGAGAGCACTTGTTTAGCATGCACAAGGACCTGAGTTTAATCCTTAGCACCAGGGGAAACAAAAGAAAGGAGAGCAATAGGTTTCTCATTAGGATCAATGTTTGGTAGATGCTGAATTGAATAGAAATGTTAAAATAATGAATGTAAATTCTGTACTCAAATTATTTTTCAGAATGAAGGCAACATCAAGATGTTTTCAGACACCCCAAACTTAAATCACTTACCACCTGGACACCTGTAGTATAAAAGTATGTTAAAGAAGCTACTTCAATTTGGAAGAAGAATTATACCAGATAAAAGCGTGTACTTACATAGGGGTCTGAAGGGACCAGATATGGAAACTCTGTGGGTAACCATATGTGATTTTTCCCAATTACTTATATCTCTTCAATTGATTATTCAAACAACAATGATACAATGTATTATGGAGGTTTTTAGCATATGTATAGGAAAATGTTTTCCAACAACATCATAAAAGCTAGGTGAGAGATTGGAAGTATGCTACTGTGTACATGTGAAATGATAAAATCCACTTGAAGATGAACTATAATAAACAAAATATTATAATGCAAACCCCTAAAAATATCAAAATGATAAAACAAAGATACATATCTAACAACCCACAAAGAGATAAAATGGTACAATGAAACTATTCAATTTATCCAAAGGAAGATGGATAATAAGGAAAAATGAAACAACAGGTGGAAAAATAGATAACAAAACAACAAGATAATAGAATTAAAACCAGCCATATCACTTATTGCATTAAATTAATATGTAAATACCCTCAATTAAATGTCAGACATCACCAAAGTCATTTTTTCATTTGAGAAATGCAAATTTAAAATGACAACATGCCTTTAGACACCCATTAGCAGAGCTAAAATGAAACCAACAAGCAAGCAAAACAACACAACAAACTGATAAAATACAGTTTGGGTGCAGGAGAGGAATAAAACTTCTGTATATACAGTCACTCTGGAAAATCACTGAGTTTCTTATTTTTTTTTACATTTTTTAAATTTTTAAATTATAACTATACATAATGGTGGGATTCATATTTATACATAAAGATAATATAATTTGCTTAATATTCTTCCCCAGTACCTTCTCATTCCCTCCTCTCTTGCCTCCCCCTCATACACTTGCTATTTATCTTTAAATTTTCATCCCATTGCTATCTTGAACAGCAAAATATAGCTAGGTACAATGATAATATTCAGCATGTTTAAGATGGGGGAAATTACTATTTTCTTCAATATATAAGGAAATAATTGTATATATATTTAAATTAATTAATATTAACATTAAAAACAGTGAATTGTATAATAAGTAGACAACCACACACTGTCTTACTAAGTGAACTTATTTAAGATTTAAAAAGGTGATCCCTCACACCTGAATTGTTAAAATTGATAGTTCTTTAATCCTTCTCATTGGTTGACTTACCGTAAATACTAAAGAGTTGGCAATGACTGTTTAGAGTTTTAACTGTACCTTTCTGTATTTGATGTATTCTTTACCCTATTTTGAAAATTTTTCCGTAACTTATTAGGATATGGTTACAATGATCTCTTGCAAATCCAATATCTCAATCACCATTCTTGTCAAAAGTGTAACTGTCCTTTGTTGAGCAAGCACAAATGTACTAAAAGTCGTCACTGGATCACAGACTCTTAGGCAACCCTAAGCAAGACTTTATAGAGTCATATGATTTGTGAAAACAGAAAGTATCATTAATTTATTTTGTACATTAATTTATTTTGTACTTTAAAGCATATTTCTCATTTTCAGATATCCTTTTTCTGTCAAGGCAATTAATATTTGTATAGCATAATAGAAATAAGAATTATAACATTAACTGTTCACATATCAATCTGATTCGCTTAGTTTTCAGTTACATTGTTTCACTGTTAATTTAAATTCATTTTTCAATACAATATTTAAAACTGTAGGTCATATGCATGAATTAATAAACATTTCTAACAGTGGGGTGGCAATGGAGAAATAACATTCAATACAGCTACTTAAGTTATTTTCATTAAATATTTGAAAATAATAAAAAATAATATGAATATTCAGAAACTATAAAAGATAAATAATATATTAATTATGCAGAAACCCAGCATACAATATCATTTAGCAAAAATTATCTGACATTGGAATTAGAAATCTTAGGTTTAGGTTTTTGTTTAAAAGAGAATTACTTAAAAATATAATTTTTTGATAGCCCATATTTATATATAAACATA